AGGAGAAGGGCAATATAGAGGAACACGCGTACAACACCAAGGACTCGTGCCCCAGGGGATGCCACATGTATAGAAACATACGTAAAACACAAAGGAATCGTCCTCCAGGTGACGCCCAATCTATAGGAGCAGACGTACAACACATGGCATTGGAGCCACTCCTGTGGCCTTCTGATGCCTCCTGCTCCTGGGGACTCTTGGGCCCCCTGGTGCCTTCCGAGGCCTCCTGGTGCCTTCTGGCGCTTCCTGTGGCCTCCTGTTGCTTCCTGTGGCATCCTGGAGCATCCTGAACCCTCTTGGGGCCTCCTGGGGCCTCCTGTGGCATCCTGATACCTCCTGGTACGTCCTGTGGCCTCCTGTGTCATCCTGAAGAGGATCCGTGCCCACGAGTCTGGTCAGCAAAATGAGCAAACCGTTGGAGACGTCCTCAAAATATGGCTCCAGATTGGGGGCGAAAATGAGTGCCCCGCTCGGGGCATCCTTCAAATCTGCTCCGAAAGCCGAGGATGTTGAGCACCGAAACAAGCACCCCGCTCGAGACATTCCCGCCATGTTGGCGCGAACGGAGGAATGCAATACCCCTGTCTGCTCCCCCTTGGGGGTGCTGAAATCCGCGCCTCGTTCGAGACAGCCTCCAAATCTGCTCCGAAAGCGGATGATGCTGAGCACCAAAATTAACAAACCGCTCGAGACATCACCCCAATCTGGGCGCGAACGGGCCCGTGCAATGCCCCATGGCGCCCCCCCTTGGGAGTGCTGAAACCAACGCCTCGCATGAGACATCCTCGGGAACTGCTCCGAACGAGAAGGATGCTGACAACCCAAACAGGCAAGCCGCCTGAGACATCCCCCCAATCTGGGCGCGAACGGGCCCGTGCAATACCCCCTGGCGTCCCCCCTTGGGAGTGCTGAAACCAACGCCTCGCCTGAGACATCATCACAACGTGTGTTTGAGTCTGAGCGCGGAAGAGGTGTGGCTGAGTCTGAGTGAGGAAGAGCGAGGCCGAGCATGAGTGAGGCTCAGTGTGAGTGAGTCTGGGTGCGAGTGAGTCTGAGTATGAGTCTGAGTGAGTGTGTGTGTGTGTGAGTGACCGAAGTATGATTAACCTTGAATATGAAAAGCGACTCGAGGTGCGAGTGAATCTGCATATGAGTGACCCCGAGCATGAGACACCTGAGTATCAGTCATCTCAGGGCGAGTGCATCTGAGTATGAGTGAGTCTGAATATGAGTGAGTCTACATGTGAGTGCGTCAGAGAACGAATGCTGGCCTGAGGGTGGGGCGCGTTCCTTCCTTCGTTCCTGTTCCTTCCTCTGTTCCGCGCGGTCTAAGTGATAACACTTAGTCACTGCGTGGAGCTCCCCATATGTGCATATATTTGCATGGACTGGGTGTGAGTGAGTCTGAATATGAGTATGATGAGTACGAGTCTAAGCACAAGTGAGTCTGGGACATCCTCGCAATCTGCCCTCTCCCCCCCACCCCCCCCCCCCTGGGGTGCGAAAACCAGTGAGTCTGAGTATGAGTATAGTGAGTACGAGTCTAAGTCTGAATGGGTCTGAGTACGAGTGAGTGTGACTACGAATGAATATGAGGGTGTATGGGTCTGAGTCTGAGTGTGAGTGGTTCTGAGCGTGAGTAAATCTGAATGTGAGTGGGTCTGAGTACGAGTGAGTCTGACTACAAATGAGTCCGAGGGTGGGTGGGTCTGAACGTGAGTGAGTCTGAGTGTGCGTAAGTGTGGGTGTGAGTGAGTCTGAATATGAGTATGACGAGTGCGAGTCTGAGTATGAGTGAGCCTAAGCACGAGTGAGTTTGAGCATAAGTGAGTCCAAGACATCCGCGCAATCTGGGCCCTCTGGGAGTGCGGAAATCAACGCCTCGCCACAGGCATCCTCAGAATCTGCTTTGACAGCAGACGAGTCTGACCACCACAACACGCACACCGCTTGATACATCCTCGACATCTGGCCCCCTGGTGTGCGACAACCAGCGCCTCGCCTGAGGCGTCCTCATACTCTGCTCCGAAAGCGGAGGATATTGAGGACCAAAACAAGCAAACCGCCTGAGACATCCCCGCCATTTGGGCGCGAACGGAGGCCGTACAATACCCCTGGCGTCCCCCCCTTAGGAGTGCTATAACCAACAAACCGCCTGAGACATCCTGAGAATCTGCTCCGAAAACGGAGGATATTGAGGACCACAACAGGCAAACCGTCTAAGACATCCCCGCCATTTGGGCGCGAACGGAGGCCGTACAATACCCCTGGCGGCCCCTCTCAGGAATGTCAAAACCAACAAACCGCTCGAGACATCCTCATCATCTGCTCATCGTCATCGTCATCGTCATCGTCATCGTCATCGTCATCATCAGCATCATCATCATCAGCATCATCATCAAAATCATCATAGTCACCCATCGTTCACGATCACCATCATACTCACATCATACTCTCATCATACCATGGTCATCATCATGACAATCATCATCATTGTCTAGTGCAGAGAGGGAGGGGAGGGGTGGTCTGGTGCGGTCGGAGAATAACAAGAACCCCATCCTTTGGATATGGGAACAACCCCATTTTAAGATATGGAGACTAACGAAAAAACAGTGGATCCAGAAGTTAAGATCAGTGAGCTTTCGAGTTTACTGATTTTCTGAAAACCGATATCCAGAATCAGTCAAGTAGCGAGTTCACTGACCTCTTGGGGGGGTAGTTTGGGGGCCTCTTGGAAGTCTCTTGGGGGCTTTGGGGCCTCGTGGAGGCCGCTTGGGGGTAGTTTGGGGGACTATTGGAAGCCTCTTGGGGAGTAGTTTGGGGGCTTCTTGGAAGTCTCTTGGGGGATGGTGGCCTCTCAGAAGCCTCTTGGGGGGTCGTTTTGGGGCCTCGTGGAAGCCTCTTGGGGGTAGTTTTGGAGCCTCTCGGGCCCTGTTGGGAGGCTCTTGGGGGCCTGTTGGGGCGCTCCAGAATCAGTGAACTAGCGAATTCACTGACTCTAGAGCTTCCGGGGGATAGTTTTAGCGCCTTTGGGTAGCCTCTTGGGAGGCTGTTGGGAGGCTCCAGAGGGGGAGCAGGGAGACAAAGAGGAGGAGGAGGAAGAGGAGGAGGAGGAGGAGGAGGAGGCAGGGGACAAGGGGAAAAGGGAGAACCAGCGAACCGAGAGAGGAGAACGTGAGGAGGAGGAGGTGGAGAGAGAACTGGTCCTCACCACAAATTACCTGGTCTTCACAACCACGTTTCTGAGCCCATGCCATGCCGCCAGACAGTGTCACGGACACGTTCCTTGCCCCACGTCATGCCGCCTGAGGGAGGAGGAGGTGGAGGAGGAGGAGGGAAGGAGGAGGAGGATGAGGAGGCGGCGGAGGAGGAAGAGGAGGAGAGGAAGAGGAGATGAGAGAAGGAGGATAGGAGAAGGAGGAGGGGAGGAGAAGGAGGAGGGGAGGAGGAGGAGGGCCCAAATCAATGGAATCGTGAGTTCACTGATATTGCCTCTCGGTGGGAGGAGAGGAGGAGAGGAGAAGACGGAGGAGGAGGATGAAAAGAGGAGGAGGAGGAGGAGGTGGAGGGAGGAGAAGAGGAACGCCAAAATCAGTGCAATCGCGAGCTCACTGATCTCGCCTTCCGGTCGGAGGAGGAGGAGGAGGAAGGCCAAAATCACGGAAACCACGAGTTCACTGATTTCGCCTCCCTGTTCGCTGATTACCAGACAGCGAGGAGGAGAGCCGAATGGTGATGCCGACTGCGGCAGCCGCGCGGCGCGCGGGGTGAGCGCCGCTCCTCGGCGATGGCCGCGGCGATGGCCGCGGGGCCGCTCGCCGCGGCGGGCGCGCCGCCCTTGACGGCCTTTTCGGCACGGGGCGGGCGGCGAGGCGACGCCCACGCAAACGCAGACGACGACTCAAACGGTGCTTGCACTCAGGGGCTCGCACTCGCTTCCCCAGGGAAGTGGTTGGGTACATCGAGGACTCGCCGCGTCGCCGCCCGTTGCCGCAACGGGGGGTATGTCGAGGACTCGCCACGTGGCCGCTCTTGGGGTCCACATTCCGAAAGTGCAATCACTGCCTGTGTGGGGCCCACGCTGCCAAAAATCAAACACACACACAGACACACACACACACGCACGCACGCACGCACGCACGCACGCACGCACGCACGCACGCACGCACGCACGCACGCACGCACGCACGCACACACACACACACGCACACACACACACACCACACACACATACACACACATACACACGCGCATACGCACACACACACACGCGCGCACACACACAGACACACGCACACAACACACATGCACACCTACACACATGCACACCTACACATAAAAAACACACACACACATATGTAAAAACTATGTCGTTGGTTCTCGAAGCCTTTCTCGCCTCGGGGTGGTTTCCAACAACTGCGCCTCGCCGAAAGCGCTCCGGAAGTGTCTGGATCGTTCCGAACGGCCGCCTGAGGCCCGAGTTATTGCCAGAACGCCACCAGGGCCAGGCGCCAGTGGCGACGCTGGCGGCGACGACGACGGCGACACCGACGATGGCGGCGGGGCCCAGCCAGCGGCTCAGGCCCGCTCCCTCTGGGCAGCATGGGCGCATCCAGGGTGTGCATGGGCACTCCCAGGGAGAAGGGGGGGGGGAGGCCACGGGTACGCTGGGGTCTACCTGGGTCCACCAAGGGAGTGCTTACGCGCACCCAGAGTGTGTTGGATACACCCATGCTGTGCTTGGGCGCACCAACGGCGGCCGCGGCTGCGGTGGGTGCGGGGAGCTGAGGGTCGGACCAAACATTGGAGATTGAGGACAGGGTAAACAAGGTTGCGGAAGGTGCTTTACCCTCTGTGGACCTCCACATCGCTACGGCTGGATCCGCCCCACAGTTCTGGCCGGATCGCAACCCGAAAGAGCCAGAGTGGTCATTTTGGAAGTCCGACACCCAAACCTTCGACACCTTCCGAAAATCGCAACGCAAGCTTGCCTCCATGTTCGGCGGTTCGGCGCGTGGCGGCCATTCTGGGGCTCCAAGACTGCAGCAAAGACTTGACCTCGGCGCACCCACTACAAGGATCGTGGATCGTGGGGCTCTGGTGGGCTCGACCTGCCGTCTAAGCGGGCGCAGGCGCAGGCCGCGGCGCGCTCATCGCGGCGCACCCCGCATGCAGACGTACGCCGCGGCGCGCCCATGCCGAGATCCACCTACAGCCCCACTGGGCGTGCGCGTGCGCCGCTGCACGCCAATTCCGGCACAGCCCCCTCACAGATTCCGTGCTCCCCCATACGGCGTTCCACCGGGCGTGCCCCCATCTCACACGTTCCGTGACCCCAACAGAACCTCCCCTTCTGGCCTGATTGCGCGTTCGCGCATGCCGCCCGATGCCCAATTCCGCGCACACACAAACACACACACACACACGCACACGCACACGCACACATACGCACACATACGCACACACACGCACACGCACACGCACGCACGCACACGCACGCACACGCACGCACACACACACACACACACGCACACGCACACGCACGCACGCACGCACGCACGCACGCACGCGCGCGCACGCACGCACGCACGCACGCACGCACACACACACACAAACAAACAAACAAACACCCAAACCCACACACACAGATACACAAACACGCAATTTTCAACACAACGCACAAACACACGAACGATCACAAGCACAACTAGGAACACGAACACCAACACTACCTCTAACACCCACCCACGCACCCGCGCACCCACGCGCCCACGCACTCACGCACCCACGCGCCCACGCACCCACGCGCCCACGCTGCCACACAGCCACACAGCCACGCAACCGCACAACAACACAGCCACATTGCCGCACAACCGCACAGCAACACTTACATACAACCGCACAGCCGCACAGCCACACGGCCAAACAGCCACATTGCTACGCTGTCACACAACCACACAACCACGCAGCCACGCACAAAGGCACCCACGCAACCACACCCGCACACCCACACTGCCACACACCCCACACACACCCACACACCCACACACCCGACCACCCACACACCCATACACCCAAACACACACACACACAGACACGCACACACACACAGACGCACGCACGCACGCACGCACGCCCGCCCGCCCGCACGCACGCACGCATGCACACACACACACACATTCATGCACGCACGCATGCCATGCACACACACGCACGCACGCACGCACGCATGCACTCACGCACGCACGCACGCACACGCACACACACACACACACACACACGCACACACCCGTACCCCCCCTCACATCCCCCCACACAGCGCGACACATACCAATACACACCCCAGCGCACACCCCGCATCCCGGCACCCACCCGGTCACGCGCCCCCACGCAGCCCCCGACACCCCTGTCCCCTTCCGCACCCCCCGACACACACACACACACACGCACCCCCCTCTCACACCCCGACACACCCCCACACCCCCAACAACACCCCAACAACACCCCGACAAACCCCGACACACCCCCACACACACACCAACGCACACAGTCCCCCCCCCCGACCCTCCACACCCACACACGCACACACCCACGTGCACATTTGGACGTGTAGTGGCTACCCGACGGCAAGGCGCTAGGCGTGTCAACCCCATCTGTTTGCCCGAGACCCAGACTGCACCTGGGAGCCTGACCTCGACGAGACAGCTTGCGGGACCACTGGGGCCACGGGAAAAATATAACGGTTTGGGGGGCCAATGGGGCGTCCCCGGAAGATCTGATCCTCCGAAGCTAGACCGACGAAACAAATCAAGAGCACAACCTGCTCGTCTCTTCGGGCAAAGGAGACATCGCGAGCCCGCGATGCGTGCGCCGTCTCCACGGCATGGGCGCTAGCCTAAACCAGCACTTGTTTCCCGCCAAGCAGAAGCGGCAGTGGACCTGTGCACGTGCGTGGCATGCGCGGTGCGAAGTCTGCGCATGCATCAAGATGCGGACCCCTGTCTCCTGAGGCCTCGCGCTCGTGCGCATGCTGCTCTCGAAACCGCCCACCCCTGGGGAACTGCAGTGGGGCCCGAGATACTTGGCCTGGCTGAGTTCTCCACGATGAAACGAAAAGCGCACGCGCGGGCGCGCGCGCGCAGCCGACCCGGGGAGGAGGGCGCGCCGAGAAGAAAACCAACAAGTCTTTTGCAGCAGCACCCGCTGCCAGCATCGCCCGCTCCTCTCGGCCCTCCGCCAAGGGCCCCCGCGGCGCGGCAGGCCCGGAGGGGGCCGCGCGAGCTACCGAAGCCTTCGAAGCAGAGCCTCGGCCCCTGGCGCGAACGCGGCCTGGCCGAGATTGCGCGCCAACTCGCGCCAGCCGCGCGGCATGGCACGAAGAAGAATCGCCCGCTCCTTTTCAAGGGCCGGCCTCCGAAATTCATTGTTTGGCGGGGCATTTCCATGCCGGGCCAGCGGACGAAACTTGCCCGCCTGGAGATGCTAGACAGGGCAGGCGCGCCCATGGGGCCGCCGGCAAATGAGCAACTCTCGAGGGCAACACGTGCGATGACACATGAGATGCAGATCGAGGCAGCGCCCCAAACGCTGCCGAAGGAGAAGCATGGGTGTAGTGACCGAAGAAACGAGGAAGGGCGAAGCACAGACGACGGCTGGGGCTGGTCACCCTTCAAAAGGGACAACAGCTGGAACGGGGGAGTCCTGGCCTCGCTGGATGACGATGTCCTGGAGATCGCTGTCGCGCCAGCTGCCGTCGTTTACGAGCCTCTCAGAGACCGCCTCGCCGATCCCCAGGCTGTGGTCGATTGCATTTGCCTCCTCGGCCTGGCGGCCCAAGGTCTGGGTCTGGGTCTGGGCCCGCCATCGGGCCGCGCCTTTGGTCTTCGTCACCCCGCGCCACCAGTCCGCGCATTGGATGGGCGCCCAAGGCTGGCGCAGCCGAAATGGTCGCCGCTGTTGTCGTCGCGTCACCGCGGCTTGTGCCGACGCCCAGGCAACGCGGACCTTCGCGCGCGCGGCCGCGCGCGCCTGCTGGCCCAAACGCGGCGTCGGGGCGCCGCCGCTGCCGCGAGGAGGGCTGCCTCCGCCACTGTCGGCGGCCATGTGGCCCCCACAGCCGCCAGCGGCGCGGCCCCCATGCCTGCCGCCATCTGCTCCAAAAGGTTCCGATTTGAGCGAACGTCCTCGCCCTGCTTCTCGATCCGGCGGCCCCGGGTCTGGGCCGCGCCAGACGCCGCCGCCAAGGCTGCCATCAGCTTCCTGCGCGCCTCGGACTGCTCGAGCTGCTCGTCGAAACCCGTCGATGGGGGCGTGGTGGAGGTGACCAGCCCCTTCGGGCGGGCCGCGGTCTGCTGGGCGCGGGCGTCTGACTGCGCATGCTGCGCCGAGTCGCCCTCGAGAAACTGCGCCGGCGCGATGGCGAGCTCCGCGGCAGGCTGCGACGTCGCCTCGGGCGTCTGCAGCTGCGCCCGCGGCTGCGCCCCCGACGACGCGCGGGGGGCCGACGCGAAGCCCCCCCCCTGTCCGCCGATTTCAAAACGAGGCGCCAAGACGGGAAATCTCTCCCAACGCGCTGACATTCCCCATGCAATTCTGCATCTCATGGGCAGTGGACTCAAGGCTACGATTTCGCGGCCGGGGCCAGGGCTGCCACGGCCGGCGCCGGCCGCCTCCGCCGCCGCCAGCGACGCGAGGGTCTCGAGGGCGAAGGCCGCCGCCGCGGCCGCGCGGCCCTTGGGAGCTCTCCCCGCCGCCGCTCGTCTGGTTCCCAAGCAGAAGGGCGTTGGGAGTCGTGGCGTCTGCACGCAGTTGCGCGATCTGCCAGCGAAGCTCAAACCGTCGACGCACCTAACCCAGAAATAGCGGCGGAACAATCCGGGCGCGGGGGTAGGTGGGAAGAGGTGCACACTTTCAAAGCCACGCATGAGCGCGCGATATGACGCAACTTGCTAGGACAGATAGACTTGAACCGAGATATCGGTCATTGAATACGACTTTCCAACTCGACTTATGCATGCCACGGCTGTTCCAGATTTGCAGACCACTTTGAAGTTCAGCACGATGAAAGTGCAATTGGGGCGCAGCGAGGGCGCACTGAACTTGCGCCGGTCGTGGAAAGAACGCCCGTGGACGCAAACGTGTAATTCTTGTGCATCACCATTACGGCAATCTTCTAGGCGCCCATTTGTAACTCGGCCTCCCAAAACTGATGGGCATCTAGGTGGGCCTCGGCCCGTTTATCATCCTCAACATTGACCTTCGCCGCGCACCAACGCGCGCGGCCCACGCGTAGCCTGCGGCACCCGCGGCAAATCGCGCGCGAAACCAACGAGAGAGAGATCGTCGACACAGCGAGCGGGTGCAAACCGCAGTGAAATCCGACAGGATGCCCTGTCACATGGCCACTCGCTGCCTCGGGGCCCGGCTGTGGGGGCTGGCGCCGCTCGCCGGGCCTCCAATGGGGGTGCCCTGGCACTCTAATGCAACGCCGATGCAAACGCCTTGCAATGTCATCCAACAAACTCCCGCGATAACGCATTTTAGGCAGCGAAACGCAATGACAACGGGACCCCAGAGTCTAGCGCCGCTGGAACGCGTGACTATGACGACAGCGCAAGATCGCGGAAGCCTCCGATAGGGGCATCGGTCACTAGGAAATTCGCCGGGCACTGGACGCGACTTGTGAAGCGCAGTTGCTCGCAACCAGTGCTAGCGCCGGTCGGCAGCATTCGCTTCTGGAAACTATGTATTTTCCCGCCTTGCCTGTCTGTCGGAGCCGTTCGTTGCGCGCAGACGCCGGGTATTTCAATGTAGACACTGACTCGGATGTGGAGGCGGACGAAGATGCCTTTCCCCCGGCCGGGGGCTGCACGATACGGCCAAAGATACCTTGGAACACCAATCGGTTCTTGCCCTCCCGTTCTGTTCGAACGGGGCCGTTGCGCTATGAGCGCCAACGCGCGCGCGAGCGCGCGGGCGGCGGATTCGGCGGCGACATCTCCACATATGGCGATGCCCATTTAGGATTGCAAGGTGCGGGCCCCGGCCAGGAGGGGGGAAGACTGCGCTTGCGCGGTCGCTGGAAGCCGAGAGGCAACGTGGCAGCGCCAGAGGAACTCATCCAGGATTTGCGGAATGCTTCTCGCAGCGCTCTTCAGGGCCCGCCACCTCCTCCTCTTCTCCCCCCTCGCCCTGCACAGTCCCCAGGTG